AGCAACAATCATTTTGAGGGAGGTGTTATAGGCCAACAGGAACATGGGTTGTGTCTGCAATGATGTAACTATGCTCAAGTGGTTTTCCATGTATTCCAGAATTATTTCAATATTTCAGCGTATGGGATCATAGACTGAATGGTCTCATAAAATTTAAGAAAAAAGGTTTAGAAATTGAAATATGAAGTTGTGGAATGACATCATTTTTAATGCCAAGGTTTCACTCCAAATTATAGAATCAAAGTGGAATCCGAAGATGGGGGATTGGTCTTTAAGTCCTTGTGAATATGTCGACGAAACATTGATTTCGAGATATTGATGTAGTGTTCAGACCTGGCCTATTCATAATCAGAATCTGAAAGGATTCATGGATGGTTACTGAGCTTCTTGTAGAAAGAAATATGTAAGGAATATGGCATTAAAAGTCTGATAGGATGGTTCTCATCATTGAGGCACATAGAGAAGCAATTGTGGTCATACCTACTGCTGCATAATGACATATGATTGTTAACACCTGCTAGATGCTGACAGTTCCAGCACTAGCAGAGCTGGTACTAGTAAGACATTGTGTTTCTTTCCTGCTGGAGCCAAATCTGAAAATTAGAAGTTTGCCATGTCAAACAGACTAGCCTATATTTTGTAGGCCTAGTGAGAGAGAGTGCATCAAGTTGAAGGCAAAGGTGCAGATGATCCAAGTATAGAGCAGTGTACCAGCTCCCTCTTTAGCTGACAGAGGTTATCTGCTGAACACAAGATGCCAGAAATTTAAGGTAATAAAGGCAAATGCCATTCAATATCTAAGCACTTTATGAACTTCTATTGAGCACCACCATTGTATCGGCTGAATGTCATCCACTTGTCATTTCCTAACATTTCATTAAATTGGCCTTGTCAGAGGGGAATGGGTCCAGCTGTGAACTGTTTGCAACTTGTATTCAGTACAGGTTTTGAAAAAGAAGCAAAAAACATTTTTTTCTGATGGGTTAAATCCTGATTGTTTGATAATTGAAACAAAATACTTACATTTTAATTGGAATTCATTTTGAAGCCTTGTCATACAGCATCTGTATAAACCACAAGGCAAAATATAAAATGTTATGGATGACACAAAAAAAATGAAAATTATGTGAATCAAATGTATAATGATTGGTCTAGATATGACCTCTTAGGCTGTACTTTGGAATCACTGAGGGTATTCCCTTTGAGCTTGAAGGTCAGGGTATGTGGATTTGGATTTTGTTGGAGAGGAAGCCTATGTAAGAGTCAATTAAGCTTGAATGCCACATATAAACATTGTGTTCATTTCATTGTGAAAGTTCATCTAAGTTTGTTTTATAGCACTATTTTTTTGTGTGATATCTATGATTGAGTACTCCAAGTTCCTCTTACACTTTTCTGTCTAAGGACAATATGAAACAGTACTCTTCTGATTTTGTGTCTTGCTTCTGAGATTCTCACATCAATTAATACAACGACAGTTCCAGATAAGGTGGACCGCCACCCGACACCAGCCATGGCCACAGTGATGAAGCTTTCCTTTGACGAGGACCACCGCCACTCTGTGTGCCAGCTTGGGGGTCTCCAGGCCATCGCCGAGCTGGTCCAGCTGGAGCACGAGGCCCACGGTCCGGCCGGCGACCCGTGCTGCTCGACGCTGAGGCGGTATGCTGGGATGGCCCTCACGAATCTCACATTTGGTGATGGGACCAACAAGGCACTCCTCTGTTCCTATCGGGGCTTTGCACGAGCCCTGGTGTCCCAGCTGTATTCTCCCAGTGAGGACCTGAGACAGGTATTGTCACATTTGACTCTTATTTTCTTTGGCTGTTGCAAGCCCATTATTCAGTAAGGGAAGAAAGAGTGCATCCTCCTCAAAATTAGGTTCTCTAAGTGCCAATTCCATCCTGTTAGTCATTATGGGGCATTTGTGTATTTTTCATTTGTTACAGGATACAGGATGAAAATAGATTGTATGCCATTTGTCTGACAGAAAGTCACAACAGAACTAAAAGAAGGGCATGCAGAGCTTGTTTCTGTTATATTCATGTGAAGACCTTGTTTAAGCTCAATTTTTGTCTTCTAATAATTGTAGATTGGAATTCTCTTCCCTCTCACTCACAATAGAATCCGTAATTATTGGCCTCCCGCTGACCTTGAGCACCTGTGTGGCTTAATGGTTGATTCTTCGAGGCCAAGAGTAGTTTGGCACTGGGTCAAAAGCATTCTCCTTACAAGCTCAAAATGAGGTGAAGTAGACCCATGGTCTACATTGTCTTTGACAACATTGTTAACAGCACTCATGTAAAAAAAAATTATACAGGATATGTCAAACTCGCTTATTGTGGATAAAGAAAGACATGATAGGAATGGCAGAAATGAAATCCATCCAACCCAATTTTCTACATATTGGGGATTATTTTGTATTTGCTATCAGGCTGACCTACAATTGTTTCTTGAAATCTCAGAAAGTATGCATTATACTAGTAGGTAAGCAATTGGCTGGTGTGAATGTAGGTAATTTTCTTATCTTCTTTGGCTCAGGCAGTCCAAGAAGATGTTAATTATTACCTAATTTTCATATTGTTAATCAGCTTATTTAAATTCAAGTTTCAGGTATTACAGGTAATTTTCTTTCATGAATGTAAGATGTAATGCTGGCGCTGCTTTGCGTGTTTCAATTGCCATAAGCCTTAAAAGTGTGACTGTCTCGTTAACTTGTCATATAAAAGAGGATTTCCATTCCTTAATGGGGTAATACATTGGGTATTAATTGAAGTGGATAGTTTGTATATTCAGTAATTTATAATTCTGCTGTCACTTGTCATTAAACTGTGTCAAAGCAGAATATATGTTTTTAATTCATAATTTTGTAGAATTGTTAATAAGATGAAATGAATTGCATGTCATTTATTTCACAGCAAAAAAAATGCATCCTTTAATTCTTTTAAATGAGAAAATAGTTACTCTTCAGTTGATGCACTGTGATCTGGATCTATCTGTGATCTATATGTGATCTTTGACTGCATCTATGATAAATTGGAAATAATATGAGTAGAGCAAGTATTTTGGAAAGGTTCATGAAAAGGAGACTGAATATTATAAGCTTGAGCAGTTTGCTTTATTGTTATTTCCCATTGGCCATTTTGCTATAAGTTCCAAAGAACAAATCTCCATTTCTCCCATAATTTAATTAGTGTTGAACCCTTGGATGCATCATTGTGTTAATACATTTTTCCATGGGTACGATCTGTGGGGGACCCACTACAAAAATAGGAAAATGCAGTAACAAAATCTCAATGCTTTCTTTTTCAATTAAATCTTCTGTGTATGTGGCAATTTATCAAAACTTGTTGGCAATGCCAACCTTTGTCTTTATGACTAGAGTCCATAAAATCTTACCTCTCGTTACTGATGACTTCACACAAGTCTGAACATAGTTATTTCTTGTTTCTCGTAAAGGTCTTGTATTCTCCATTGAGGCAAAAATCCACTTTTATCTGGGATTTTAGGTTACCGCAAGTGTTCTGCGTAACTTATCATGGAGAGCTGACAGTGGGAGCAAGGCGGTGTTGCAGGAAGTGGGCACTGTGTCTGCATTGATGCAGGCTGCCATGGAAGCCAAGCGGGAGTCTACACTCAAGTCCATATTGTCCGCTCTCTGGAACCTCTCTGCCCATTGTGGTGAAAATAAGGTGAGAAACCAGGGCTTTAGATGAAGGAATATTTAATTAATTTATGTAATTTCTGTTGCAAGATGAAAGAGAGAAAGAACTTGGTATAGACAAATTGAAGCAAAACTAAAAATGAGACAGAGAGAGAATTGTGGAGAAAAATGCTAAAAGAAGAAAGTGCGCGGGTAAAAATCTTGTCTCATTTACAGAAAGGAAGCCTAGCCAGAAAAGGAAAATCAAAAGAAAGGAGAAACTGAGTTATAAAAGCCAGAAAAATAATCTAGAAAGTGAGGGATAAGTAGAATAAGGCCTGTCAGTCACCTGTGGGCAGCCAATTCATTTGGTACTGTTGGGATGGTGTGAGAGAACAACCCAGCGATAGTCTTCCGCTTGTTCTTTCAATTTAGGCCGAGATCTGCGCCTTCGAAGGTGCGTTGGCCTTCCTGGTCTCTATGCTCAGCTACAACGCCCCCTCCAAGACGCTAGCGGTTGTCGAGAATTCCGGTGGGATCCTGAGGAACATCTCCAGCCAGATTGCTCTCTCTGATGAATACAGGTCAGCATTTTTTTATTTCTGAATCCTAACGCAAGGCTAACTTCATTGAGCTACGTCAGGTATCATTTTATATTATGCCTGTTGTGCCATATTGAATTAAAGACAATAGGAAAAGTTACATGGTGCATGCAGGATTCTAACCAGGAATTTTCCTAAACTCGTGGATTTACCGCCGGTGTAAACCTCGCGACATCGAAATTTTTAAAATCCAATTTGAGGACAAAAAAGCGTAAGAAAAGACTTTGCCAGAAGTAACGTCACGGGCGCGAATCACATTCCTTGCGAAAATAATCAAGTGCGTGGAGAAAACACAAGGATATTGCATCGACTTGCATTCAGCTTGCCAGAGGAAAAGGAAGACGTGAAAACATCCAAAGGTGGGTTTCCGGATGGAATTGGACGTGATTATTACGCTTGTGCAATGTATTTCTTGTGCCCACCACTTCGAATGGACTACTCGATTGCGGACTTAGTTTTTTAAACTACACGGTTGAGCAGGCCACAATGAAAAGTTGAGACATTTTGACTGAACCAGTTATGAAGACCAATCTAGAGCCCTACACATGTCCTGTCAAGTACAATGGGCTCCTCGCGTTGCGATTTTCGCTTTTGGCGTCTGGATCATGAAATAATTTTTATTGTGCTGGTACATGGGTGATTTTTCGCTTGAAAGGTGTTAGCAGAATTGTGACTTGCCTAGAAAAATTAAATTACTTCTTTTGCCTCTTAACATTTCCAGCTTGAAAAATTATAGGTGTGAGTAAATATTTGGCTCCAAAAAGTTTAGATCCATTCATCCCTTTGCCCCTACAGGCAGATTCTGCGTGAGGGAAAATGCTTGGAAACTCTACTGCAACAGTTGAAGTCTCCCAGCTTGACTGTAGTGAGTAATGCATGCGGTACTCTTTGGAATCTCTCGGCTCGCTGCACCCGCGACCAGCACCGCCTGTGGGAACTGGGTGCCGTACCCATGCTCAAGTCACTCATTCATTCCAAGCACAAGATGATCAGCCTCGGATCGAGTGCTGCTCTGAAGAACCTAATGTCCGGACCTCCCCGTCCTCTGCAGAATCCCCTCACACTTTCTGGGCTGGACGTGCCTACCCTCCAGGCCCGTAAGCAGAAGGCACTCACGCAGCATCTAGAAAACCAAAACTTGACCGAGACGTGTGAAAACATCGAGAGTCCAACCAGTCCAGCCGTTGAACGGTCGGTGACGGCGGCGTTCGACCGACGAGCAAATCGCTTTTATAATTCCCTCCGAGGCCATTCTTCACAGTCTATGTATGGCAATGGACCTGTAAACGGGATCCTGCGATCCGAGAGTCACGAATCCATTCGCAGCACCCATTCGGAATCCTACTGTGAACGCTGGCGGCATCGCTCGGGAGATATATCCCTCTACGGCAACCTTCCTAGTGATCCGACTCTGCAGCCGCTAGACCTCTCCCGTAAGAGCAACAACAATCTTACCAGGAATAACAGCAACAACAACAACAGCATCATGAGCGACCAGGAATTCGCTGAACGAATCAGCAAGCTGAGTGAGACATATCTCAAGTCAGAAACATTTGGCAGTCTCCCACGTCGTCATTCGGCCGACATCCTCGATCCAAGAAACGTTGGTGTCATTGCCCCTCATCCCACCGTTTCTGGCTCCGATTCAGCGATGGCTCAGCCAGGTGTCCGGCGGTCGCTCTCCAGCGATCGCTGCTCCATCCCCGCCCATCCGAACAGTGCATTCGAACCGTATCAGCACGGTGTGAAGGTGAAGAATTACGCGACCGAGAGGCCGTTGGATTTCAGCCTGAAAGGAGACGATTCGAAATCGGCGTACACGGAGACCGACCTCGACGAGCCTGTCAATTACAGCCTCAGGTTTTCTGAGGGAGAGCAGGACGAGAGCGAGGACGAGAAACTCTTCAAGAAGCCCCTTCCACCCAACGTGAACGCGTACGTGGAACCCCTCTCCATCCACGACGACTCCGTGAAAACGTACTGCACCGAGGGAACCCCGTACATGATCTCGAACGCGGGATCCCTCAGCGACCTCACGGCGGACGACAAGTCCGAACTTGGGGCCAAGAAGATCCGATTGATCTCGGGTCGCGCGTCGCCGGAGAAGCCCAAGACCTACTGCGTCGAGGACACGCCTGCCAACCTTTCCCACAGAAGTTCCCTCAGCAATATAGTTGTCAGTTTGGACAAGGACGGACCGAAGTTACCGCAGGAATCTTCCAGTGCTGTTCCGGAAGGAGAGAAGGTCGACGAGAGCTCGCAGAAAGCAGGTCTGTTTTATTTCTTAGTTCGTTTTGCTTTTCTTGACGCGCACATCCCAGTCAACCCCGACTCCACCTTCTCTTAGAACAAGAAAACTTCCCTCCCCCGCCATAAAACCTGGATCTCTGCTCCTTAATCATCTGCCCCATCTCTCTCCATCTCTCTCTCTCTGACCAACTGTTAGAACCATAAACAATAAACATCCCCAGATTGGTTTTTAAGCGGCCTGGTTTGGTTTGGAGGTCGGTCTTGCTATGCCTTCATTTAGATGATTTCATAATGAACGCCTATTGGTATTGTCGCTGTTTGCTAATCGCGCATCCGATACCAATGAAATTATTGTATTGGTAGATTCACTGCATAAAGACCGAATTGGATATTGTGTTTCTGCAGTTGTTGATGCGTTACGGATTATGATTGCTCTAATTTTCTTAGTCAAAATAGATACCTTCGTGTGATCCTGTGCAGAGAATGCCGAGATGTATGAAATGTTGATAACGATTTGAATTTCGTTATTAGTGAAATGAGTGGGTGAAGGAGACACAAGAGGGTTAACAGGTTGCCCCGTGAAAAAGTTGCAGACTTATGCGAGAATTTATCGGCCATGGGTAAAAAGCAAATCCTGGTTATGGAATCGCCTTGCAAGACGAATCCACTCGTAAAACAGTACCTAGTAATACATCATAAACGTCAGCTTTAGAAAGCCGGAAAAGCTATCCGTTGCTTTGCGAAAAATTCGTCATTCATCAATGCCATAGATGCCCCTGCCAAAAAATGGCAACATTGACAGTCTTGTGTTTGACGGTATCAGCAAAAAAGGGGGGGGGGGGGGACTGCATGCATGGAATTCTGAGACAGGCACCGAGGCGCGTAAGGGGTGAGCCTGGTCTTGTGACCTTCGCAGCTTTCCCTTTTTTATTGTTAAAAATAGACTCCCTGCATGGAAGCTTCCTTTGTTTTTGCTCTGGCTTTTCATGACTTGCCCAGGGGAGAGGGGGGAAACGCCTTTCGGATCGTTGGGCTCCTCGCTAGAATATTCTCGAAGAGGTAGATAAAAAAATTATCCTGCTGAAGATAAGGCTTGTAAGTGGATGTTGAAGTGTCTGTGAATAGGTGAAATACAGTGACACATGTTGACTTGGGAAACATCCGATAAGAACTCTGTAATATGAATTACGGAGGATGGTAAGGGTCACACGGGTATCATATGAAAAGAAATCCGTGGGGGGCGCTCCAATTTTATATTCCACATATTGGCTCGTGAGACCATCTCACCGTCGTATATATGGGATGAACGAAAGCGGTAAATAGAGCTCCCCGCGTGCACTAGCGCAGTCGTCTACTCTGAAGGCGTATCCATTGTGAATCTATTCCTATGACTCTTAAACAAGGGATAATGCATAAATTATTCATAACTGGGTGCAGCTGCGACCTGAGCCTGTTTGACAGGTGATAGGGATGGGAGTGAGGTACCAGGTGAAGGGAAGGGGGAGGGTGGTTAGCGAAGGAGAGTTAGGGCAATGGAAAGTTGTTGGAAACCACGGAAAGCGGAGCGGGAAAATGAGAGAAGGCGAAGGAATAGGGAAAAAAAAAACCTTTTAGCCCTCAACTAGTATTGTGGGATCATAAGAGACCCTACCGAGTTGAATTCAGATGCCCTGCCTTATCACTGACCTCCAACACCACCGACCCCCCCCCCCTCCCTCACCTCCTCCTCCCCCTTGAGAACCACCACATTCAGAGAGGCAATAAACAAGGTCCACTTAGGAGAGGGTTTGAGTCCTTTAACTTGACTGGAGATGTGCCCGTCATGATTTTTTTCACGAACGACCCTGGAGTGTCGATGTGCGTAGGTGGGAAGTCGGTGACGTTCAGACCGGGTGCGCCAGAAGAGACGCCGTTGATGTTTTCTCGATGCAGCTCGCTGGATTCCCTTTCGTCGGCCGATCAGCACTCCCTTCACGACGACCGCAACTCCGTCGTCTCTGAATACAGGTACTCTTTCGGGGCGGAGGTTTATGTCGTTTCCGTGTTTTGCACTTTAACAGCGTTTCCTCTCGGGAGAGGACGTTTTAAAAAGGGGAACGTCAGACTCATCACTCATCGGGCAAATGAAAGGATGAATTGTGTCAGTTCCGAAGACGCATTTAGTTTTCGGCTGTCTGCCAAGTTATCGTGATTCCTGTCAGTTCGCAGTTCCTCACATATTTAAGATTGACGCTGGTAGTCAAATTTATGTCGAACCCGCGCATCGCAGATTATCGGAAGAGTCGTTAAGACCAACAAGATCGCAAACTTGCGATCGTTGAGCACCCCAAAAATGTGCATCATTACAAAAACCATCTCAAAATATATGCATGGTCATAAGCTGATGGATTCATCAAATGGATTCTTTTGTGTTGAAGAGAATAAGGCATTAGGAATATGATGTTTTCTCTTGCACTTCACTCTAGACTTTTTTTTTAGGCTGCATCAAATTCCTGTCCAGACCGAATGCAAGGACAACACATTTTTGATGAACTTTGGCACAAAAGAGATAATCTAGATTCATCAGAATGAACACTTAGGAACTGATCCATATGCTGTAGATTCTGCCTCTGCTCGTTACTTTGTACACTAAAACCCTTTTTTTAAAGTTCGGTGACACAGAGCCAAGCATGATGGAGTGACATGATGTATCGCTGTATTTTGGAGTTTCAGCAGTTTCTGTTTTGGAAATTATGTCTAGCAGACCACACCTGCTATATATTTTTTGACATCTTTACTTATTTAATCACCAGCTAATGTGAGCTCATTCATATAATGTCCTTTGAGAATGTTTTCTTCAGAGGGAACAGGGAATTTCTTAAATTCCAAAGCATCTTAGGCTTGAAACAGTCACAAGACCACCATCGACATTTTTCCGTTTCTGGTCCAGCTCCCGCTCATCTTTTTCGTTTGCTCTCCCGATCGATGCCCGGATATGCTTCCGATGAGTTTTGCTCCCGCCAGTGGGAGTGGGGTCTTAATCTTTTAATCTTAATCAGGCTCCGCCTTTTTTTTCACTCTCTTGATGTAACCCATGTGTTTCTTGTAACTCATTAATTTTCTTGTCACGTCGGGTCGCTTCGTCTTTCACTCTCTCAGAGGCTTGTTTGGAAAGAGATATCCTTCCAGACTCGTCGTTTGTTAAGGGAAAAATCTAATCGAGCTTTCAGAGGGGAAATTCCGTTCTCTTCCAACGATTCACCATGGACGGTCTTCCATGAACTTCAGTTAACCGGGAAGTAACCAATCGGTTTACGTCGGCTACCAGACGATGAATCGGCCGGAAATTGATTTGGGAGGCCACCGGTTCACCTACTGAGCCTGGCCAGTTTCAGGTTAAATTATAGACGTTCTTTTGTTTTAATTTAGTGCATGGACATTGGAACCAGAGGAAATATGCATGCATTTATATCCTTAGAGACAGTTGAATGATTTTCATGACGAGCATCTGTTGCGAGAAGTACCGGCTCGTAAACCCTTCCCATTCCACAATGCCACCGAATATAAAGCACATCACAGTTTTTAGACTTCTTCCACTGATCTTGCATCAACGCCTCGAATGAGAAGTTTGATCCCTTATAAGATTTTGGCCCATAAAGTAAATTTCAGATGTTTTATCTCAGCAACCTCAGGATTCAGAGATAAATGAAGGAGCATTGCACGAGATTCCAGCATCATAACATAAAAAGTGGCCCCAGACGAAACCCCATCAAAAGCTTTTCTACTTTGGGGCAATCGCATTTCGAGACCCTCGCGATCCTTTTTTGCCCCGCTTACAGCAGCAGATGGGAGACCGACCTTGGCATAGCTCACAAAGCCTTCGATCCAGCCTCCTCTAAGCCAAGATGACAGAGCATCTCTGCGGACTTGGCCTTGCCGAATGCCTCTTTATTCGGCCGACACCCGCATCCCTACGACCTCTCCGCGGGTCGGGAATTCAGCAAACTGATTTCCTGCTTTGAGCACGAATACGTATGGGAAGTAGCACCGCCTTTTGGTTCGCGGTCTCGTTTCGGTTCCCGTCCCGATCCCGCAAGTCTCTAGTATCGACCAGGGGGGTGGGGTGGGGAGGGCAGGGCGAGGGTAGACAAAAACATCTTTTCACCACTCCCTAATCCTATGGAAATTCAGCACCTGTAAATTCCTACTATGACGGGTACCCAGCCGGTCGGACGATTTCGTTTGTCGTACGGATCGCAAGCAAGGCATAGCAATTCTCCTGCCAAAAAAATAAAGCGAGGCCGGCCGCACTGGTCTCATCTCATTCTCAGGATATTCACACTCCTGCGTGCTGGTATTACTGCGCTTTCTCCCTGATTCCACAGAAAATTCCCACCAAGAAACACTCGCTTTAACGCGTACGGGACAACGAGTCTGCCATGAACAGTTCTTCGCACTCGAGAAAAACTTAGTCAGTAATTGTAAAAGAGATGGCCACCACAGAGCAAACGCGATACGCGTCACCTCGACTTCGGGCTTGGTTTAGCCTGGTTTACGATCGGCGGCCCCTTTTGTCCCTTTCTCTGAAGTCTGCCTGTATTAAGGGTAATGAGGGGGATTTATGATTTCAGCCTCTCCCACTCCATATGGTTCTAATTTAGTTTGCGATTTTTTGTGTGCTCGCGATCGATACAGACATGTGTTCCCGATGACTTCACGTCTCGCCCCGAGGGATGGTCGTTTTTCTTATTACATTAGAAATGCCGCATTCCGATCTCGCCTTATAAAAAAAAAAGGGGCGCGTAGTCTTTCGAAGCTCAAAAGCAGGTCCTTGATATAGCCTCTATGGAAACATCAACAGAAATTATTTTTCGTCGAAATGAAATGGTACGTAAGCACGTTCTGACGGGATTTTGCGACAGAAATGGCGACTCACTGATTTCAAACTTCATTTCCAGCTCAGAGAAGAAATGCTCCATCAGAGCAGAGAATTACGCAGTTCAAACGAGATACACGCTTTGGTTTTCTTCCCTCTATACCCTCGCCAAGAAAAGGGAGCGTTGAAAAGCTGGAGATTTTCCGACAAAGGAAGGGGGCAAAAAAAAAAGGAAAAGGCCACGCGTGCTTCCCTCATTATGTTTTTGTCTTCTTTGTCATTTCGGAAGAACTTCCTGGTCCTAAGCATAGGAGGCACCTGCGTTTTCTACGTCGAAGACCTGGGAGGTCAGAGGGGTATTCGTAATCGCCTATATTTTTAAGCTTCTAAAATGAGTAAAATTAATATTTTTAAGTGTGCCGGAAGGTACGCAATTTTTTTCATATTAATTTTCTCTTTGTCCATTATTTATCTGGGTATAGTTTCGCGGACCCCCGACGACTCGGAGCGAGACGGAATGGAAGGGTTCATTTTTTTTAGACTTCTTTGATGACGTCATCCGGTCCCAGACCCGAGAACGAAATAGAGCGAACTCTCCATTATCGAGGATCGCAAGATTCCCGATTCAATATCTGCGGTTTCTGTCTCCGAATACCCAACCCTAGTTCGAATGAATTTCCATACTGGCAGTAAAGGATTGCGTGAAGACGGAATGGTGCTTTCATAGGAAGCAGTGGTCTTGCGTGAGAGGAAGAGAGGCGGCAAAGGTGAAGTGGTCCAGGTTTCCTTTATGGGTCAACCGGTGGCGAGGTAAACGCGTTTGCTTCTGTTGAAAGTCCGAGGGACTTTCATCTCAGCGAAAACACGGATAACCATAAGATTCGCTTTGGATGCTGGATTCCTGATTCATAGACCAGTGGGTCAGAAATCCCAAAAAGTCGGAGAGGTTCAGTGAACGCCCAGATGTTTTCGGGAAGGAGAGCCGTGAACCAGTCCCGATCTGTCGTCTGTGTTTAAAACGCCAGTGGCAAAGGTGCATTGCAGCAGCTGCTTGAGTTAAATCTCCTTTCTTTGGAGGAATATTGAGGGAATGTAAATGTGACTTCATCCCAATAGCGGGTCGCAGATTATCGGAAGAGTCGTTAAGACCAACAAGATCGCAAACTTGCGATCGTTGAGCACCCCAAAAATGTGCATCATTACAAAAACCATCTCAAAATATATGCATGGTCATAAGCTGATGGATTCTTTTGTGTTGAAGAGAATAAGGCATTAGGAATATGATGTTTTCTCTTGCACTTCACACTAGACTTTTTTTTTTAGGCTGCATCAAATTCCTATCCAGACTGAATGCAAGGACAACACATTTTTGATGAACTTTGGCACAAAAGAGATAATCTAGATTAATCAGAATGAACACTTAGGAACTGATCCATATGATGTAGATTCTGCCTCTGCTCGTTACTTTGTACACTAAAACCCTTTTTTTAAAGTTCGGTGACACAGAGCCAAGCATGATGGAGTGACATGATGGAGTGACATGATGTATCGCTGTATTTTGGAGTTGCAGCAGTTTCTGTTTTGGAAATTATGTCTAGCAGACCGCACCTGCTATATTTTTTTTGACATCTTTGCTTATTTAATCACCAGCTAATGTGAGCTCATTCATATAATGTCCTTTGAGAATGTTTTCTTCAGAGGGAACAGGGAATTTCTTAAATTCCAAAGCATCTTAGGCTTGAAACAGTCACAAGACCACCAGGTATGTAGTATGCATGGTTTCCATTCTCCATGCTGAAATGGAGTTGGAATGTCACCAAGGATGTCAAAGGTTGATGGATGAAGGCAGCACTCATCCATGGTCACATCACTTGAAGTCTCATCGAGGAAGAGGAAGAGTTGGCAGGTTCTCAAGGTTTCCCGAAGAGATGACGACGATCGTTTCGGGAGGCTTTAGCGAAGGAGGGAGGAGGAAATAGTTGGCACAGAGTAGATAGGCATCAAAATGCCTTCCTCTTTCTTCTTCCATCAGTAACCCTACTACTACTGGATTCTTCTTCCTGCATCGTTGCCCCAGTCTCGTGGATTCCGTCGGCGACGTCGGTTCCAAATTAGTACGACGAGGTGCGAATGGAATCCGACGTTCTTGAATCCATTCCTGCTCCCATCTGCGTGCAGTTCCATGGTCGAAACACACGTACCTGTGTGACGATAGCGAATGGTGGTCTTCCCACTAAGTGAGAGGCCGATGGTTCCCATGTGCTCCTAGTATTAATTTTGTCATGTTTAATTATTATCTTTGACAGGTCTTTATATTGATTCTGTTGGCTTCTGTGTGATTTCATCTTTCATTTCTGTTTGCTTTTGCCTTGCAAAAAGTATTTGTTTTATTGAGGTGACATTTTAATGCAACAATCTCTGTGGAACTAGCAGTATCTAAATTGAAAGATACTTTGTTTTGCAAAGGGGATGAATTCGTGAGTTTTTGTACCTGTAATCTCATAACAAGAGAGGGTTTGAGAAGGTTTTCTTTTTTTCCTTCTATAATGAAGAAACTCCTGTTTTTCCAAGAATGAATGTCATTTTCATAATACTGCCTCATGACCGTCATTGGTCTCATGCGGCATACTGTTTCATCACCTTTCCCGTTCTCCCAGTCACCGAAAGCCTTGTCATCCTGTGCGTTTTTGCCATTTTGTCAATCGTTAGTCGGAGGACAAGCGAGGTGGTGTCTCCTAGCGACCTCCCCGACTCCCCTGGTCAGACGATGCCCCCGAGTCCAAGGCAGCGAAAACCCCCACCACCTCCACTGGAACAAGACCTCAAAACCCAGATTCATGCTGGTATACACACTCTTGCCATATTTTATATATATGCTTTTTTTTTTGCCAATTCTGTCTCAATTTGCTTCTACCATGCATTCCAAAGAGTTGACCAACAGTAATCAATATTTTCAGGATTAGGTGTAGCATTTTGATTCCAAGAAATCTTCTTGCTTTTTTACACCTGTTGAAATAGCTGCAGATATTATTCTTCGTTCATTGAAGTGCTTATATTGATCAGAGTCCATTTTCTGGCATCAATTCATCAATATCTTCTGTTGGTTCATATATTACTGGATGATCAGAGTTCTGTATCAGCATTTGCCAGTGGTGATGTCAAGGTAAATTTTGGCAGTTGTTTAGTCCTTACAATATTTATATTTGAGTAGAAGAAGAAAGAGGCCTGCTAGCAAAGCCACAATTCATTGCAGATTGTTCAAATGTCTCGTTGAAGTGTGATATACTTCACACTTTTATGCCTGTTAAGATTTTGGCTATGCAGATGGTGAAAATGATGTTATGGAAAGTAATATAACAAAAGCTTTATATCACAACAGGGACAGAGGCAAAAGATGGAGACACCCCAGATGTGTTTGCTGAGAACCTCAAGACCTACGAGACAGAAGGGACCCCTTTTAAGCACAGTCGGGCCACAAGTCTCAGCTCTCTCACCATCGATGATGACACGTCTCGTGTGAATGGGATGGCTCAGGTCGGCATGCTTTCTGGGGACTAGATCTTCTTGAATGACACGAATGCATATATCGTAGTCTCTTTGAACCTGGTTTTTTTCTTTTTAGTCTATATTAGTCATATTTCCATTTAGTGCTGATCTGTGAACAAGACTGAGTTTTCTGACTTGAGGTATGGGATAAGTAGTTGAGTTTCAGACAATAAATTAATGAGAACATAAAGAAATTTTCTGCTTGGTTCTACCTCCTACATATAATTTAACTTAACTTTCTCAGTTAAAAATCTTAAACATTGGAAAAAGGAAAACAGTTTTATTCAAAATTATGACATTGCTAGTATGATTTTGAACCCAAAGGTGATTGCTTGACAATCTCTTGCCTTGTGTATTGTCAATGGTTCAGTGATTTTGCAGCTTGATGCTGTCACAACGTGCAGCTATCTCAGTCTGCATAATGCATTTCAAGAATAATAATGTAAAATGGAAAAGAGTTAGTCTGAAAATAACTCTGAAGAACGCTCAAGGAAAGGAATGTATGTGATTAGCATGTGATACTCAATATCCTGCTGATGAATGGATGGGGAGTCAAAATGTTTAGGGGCACCTTGCCAGCTCATCATCTCTGCATTCTGTAACCCCCTTTTTGCATTGGATTTGAAAATTGCATAGACCTGAAGATAGTTTCCTGATGGCAAATATGTGTGTACAGAGGACTCGAACCAATCAAATTCCTGAAGAGTTTTTGGAACCTGTTTTGATAGTCTAGTCCATGTTTTCATTTGTTAGACAAGGAATTCCCTCAAAAAAAAGTATACAAGCATACATATGGAAAAGAGAATGAGTAAAGAAGTGGAAATATTGACATATGTATCCAGGAAGGGGATCATCTTTCCTTTTCCTCTTCATCATGTATTGATTTTTTTGGGCATGTAAGTTAGTGCTCCTTTGGAAATGTTTACCTGTCCTTATTCATTCATATCTTTCAGTTAAAACATATTCATTGACCTACTCATTTGAGAAAATGGTATCCTTCTCCTCAGGCATCATTTTTAACCAACAAAAAGTATTAACCTAGAAATCAATATGGCCCAGGATATACTATTATAGGAACTCAATTCCCATTGGCATTTTTACGTTTATTTCTTCAAATGTTAATGTCTTCCATGGCATGTTAAATGAAATGCTGTTGCGCCCTTGGTCTCTGCATAATGTAAACAGCTTCTTTTCTCTTTGAGAAAACAATGCAAGGAAAGAGACAAAGAGGAGACTGCTGTATTTTCTTTATGTAGGAGATATTCAATTAAAATTTTAAGTGCTGCATTGAATACAGTAGGCCATGCCTCTCAGACTGAGTTATTTTTCTGAAAATGAACTTATGCACTAAAAAATTGTTTAACTCTGTTGGCTCACAGACAATTCTTAGGACAATTGTGTGTATGCAATGGCCGTGCTCAATAGTTAAATATGAAAAATTTCTACATTGGTGGTCAATTAAATCCTCTATAATAGACTATGCACATGTGGTCATAGTTCTTGATGAGTTAATGAACAATGCTTCAAAATGCATTTCGTTTCTTGTGACATGCTTGAACAAAGGATAAATTGGCTGTAATACTGAAATTAGGATGAAAAGAATGATATTGTTTCTTTCCTATGGGACCAAAGGAGGAAGAAGTGAAAACCCCTGTCGATGGGAAGGACTCTCCTGCTGGGGCAGATGACAGCGATGAGGAACTCGACCAGAACCTCCTTAATGCCATCATTTCTTCTGGCATGCCCTCTCCCAAGAAGTCAGCTCATTTTTATTTTTCCAATCATTTCACTTTTTTTTGCAGAAAATGATTTAAGAAGCGCTTGAATTTTCAGCAGGACCATTGCTAGCAAGCCAGTGCCACCTAAGCCTGTCACTCAAATCCCAAATGCAAGGCAATGCAGCCAGAAGGTAAGGATGTTTTGCAAAATTTATTGTGAGCTCAATTGAGGTACTATTGGCAATAAAGTGATTTACATGTGGTCAGAATCAGGAAACAATAGTATAATTTGTACAATGTATGTATTCTCCTCACAGGTGCATTATCTTTGAGCTTTTTTGCGAAACATGTTTGCAAGTTTTTGGTCAAATCAGTGTTAAACACACTTACATATGTAAAGTAAACCCCAGTGAACATAACTCATTTGTGGTTATGATTTTTAATATGTATATTTCAGTAAGAATGGAAAGAGCCTATATTGTTGAACATTGGCAAAGTCCATAGTGGAAATATCTACCTTCATAGTCTATATTGCTGCATGTGATGGTTGTGTGGGTGGATAGTGAAGATGAGATGGCCACATTCCAGGCTTGGAAACTGGCTGTAATGTCAAGTTGCTGATGGAAAAGGGATAGCTTAAACCTGATGAGCCATGTATTGTGCTTTGGACTTTAGGTGCTCAACCAAGTGCGAATACACGAGGACAGTATAAGGAAGTATGAAACAGAGGGCACCCCAGTTAACATATCCCACGCGGGATCAACAGGAAACCTGTCGGACCTGTCCTTCCCTGGTGAGAAGTCACCCAAAACCCCATCTAGAATGGGAAAGATGAAACCTGGCAGCATCCCTTCTTCTGACAACTCCTCTATATGTGATGACAGTGATGGCATCCTGGCCCAATGCATTCAATCTGCTATGCCAAAGGTCTTGTATCATATTTCTCATCTCAATAGAGTCATTTCAGACCATGCTCAATGCATGTTTGATCCATCAGCTGCTTTCCCTAAATATATTATTTCATAAATTTTATGAGAAGTTTTAGGAGGTTGTAGCATATTGGCCATGTTTCCCATTTGTATAAATGCTTTTGAGTTTATTGTGTAAACTGGAGTGATTTAATGAGAAAGTTGTTAACAAATCTTTGAAGTAAAGAATAAAGAGCTTTCCATTTGTTTCCAACAATAACTTTCAGTCTCCTTAATTCAGGAAGATTACTAGCCGTGCAAACAGGGGCTTAATTGCTTGATAGGAAAAATCACAAAATGGCTCAACTTTCTGGTTCCTCACTTTATTGGATATGACTTATTTTCAACAGTCCAAATCTCAAGGGAAGCCTGTTCCCATGAAGCATCCATCGGTGGAGCGTGTAAGAGTGGGCCCGAGTTCTCATCCCAGGCCGGGGACTCGGACGTCTGCGTCTCCGCAACAGCAACCGGTAAATCGACAGGCCCCTCCAGCAGCAATTCCCCCACCTGTTCCTGCCCTTGACTCAGTGAGGACATATGCAACTGAGGGAACCCCTGCCAACTTCTCTGCATCCACATCCTTGAGTGACCTCTCCATCCAGGACCATCCCCTTGATGTTCAACCCCACCGAAACAACCAGTACAGACGGTAAGTAATAAATTAATTATTTTGTTTGTCTTGAAGATGTGTTGCAGTTCATCTCATTCCTGTTAACATATGAAATACTTCAACATCAAACGATGCCCATATTTTTCCATGCTGTTCTTGAGCATCTCAAAGCCACATCCTCCAGCTGACAAATCTGCAAAAAAAAGCAAAAGTAAAGGTATTCAAGATCACTTACAAAGGTTAAGATATAAAAAGATTTCATATATAACCTTGATGGCTTTATTTCATAACCATTGAAGAGACTGCTGCCATGTTATGCCCTCTGCCTTGTCAGCCAACCGTATTTACTCGTGTATAAGGCGCATTTTTTTTTCATATTTTATTGTGTTCGATGCGGGGGTGTGTCTTATACTCGAGGAAAAATATCTCTTTTTCGAGAAAAAAATTTTCAGCGTATCTATAACTCATTGATCACTAATTTGAGGCGGAAACTGTCTGCAGTCAGTCAGAACAGGAGAAATATAATAATTATAAAACGGTAAACAGGGAGTGTCTACGTCGATTCGCGGACTTCATTCAGTATCGGAATCGGAATCTG